TCCCCTTCCCCCCCTCCCCGCAAAGCACAAAGCACGAGTTAGTCTGGCCCAGGGATTCTATTGTCCCCCCCACTCACTCACACCCCTCAAGTAGTTGCGAACTGTCTGGCTGGTAGACACACTCATGCAGCCTGAGCACATTTACCAGCCAGGCAGTTCGAAACTACAAACTGATACATCTAGTAATAATACAACTTACCTAGTGAGAAAATACCAGACATGTTATATGTCTGGTATTTTCTCAGTTTGTTTTTTATATGTTTATATTTTTGGGCTGTAAAAAGCAGAACTGGAAACAAAAGGGTTCCAACTAAAGTAAAAAGTTTGGGAAACCCTGGTCTAACCAGCTTTCTGTCTGTCTTACAGTCCATTTATCCAATCCATATTCCTTAACTTGCTGGCAAGAATATTGTGGGTGACCATATCAAAAGCTTTGCTAAAGCTGGCACTGGGGGTTTTGGGAGGACCAGAAACAACTTATTTGAATATTCATCATTTGATTAACGAATATGCAAATATGCAAATGAACATTACCGGTCCTCCAAAAGTTCGTGAATGGATTTACTGGTCCCCGTTTCAAAAAGTTTGGGAACCCCTGAGCTAGTGTAGACATACCCTAAAGGACTAGGCTTACACCTTAAAAGTGCTTGCACCATTTGAGTCTGTATTTTTAAGTATGTGCCCTCTTAAAATGTAAGCCTTATCTCTCTCCCGTCCAGTATGTGGAAATTGCATTGTAAATTAGTTTAGATGGAGCCAATGTGAAATTTCAGGTGAGGAAGATTTGATACTGTACCACCAGGGGCGGCCCGTGACTATAGGTGGACTCGGCCGCCGCCTAGGGTGCCACCGCCCAGGAGGGCGCCTGATGATGATGTCAGTCCATTGACGGCTCTGCAGGCGGGGGCGCTGATCGCGCATTCCGCCTGGGGCGCCAGCTGCTGCAGCCGGCCTCAGGCCGCTCCTGTGTACCACTAGTCACTGCAAGTACTACAGAAAGGAAACAATGCACTTTTCTTCCTTAAGACGCTCTTACATGTTGAATTATTAACTAAAGAAAACAAGTGGTTTGATTCAATCACTAACTTCTGAGAATTACAGTATCAGTAGGCTTAAGTATAGTGTGGAAGAGCATCGGGGCAGAGGGGGAGGATTCTTTAATGTAACTAGTGGTTGTTGAATGAAAGGTCTCAATTGGAAGTTTACTTGAGAAGAACAGTTTACAGAATGGGTGACTACAGAATAAATAATTACCCTTCTTTCCTTACAGCCCAGAGTAGTAAGTATATGTAACACAAGCATATTAAGCCTGTTTCTTTTTCTATTTGCAGCACATTCACAGCTACTTCACAGGCACACTTGGAATTCCTGTCTGGGGTTCTTATGCAATCTTCATTTTAGCCACCCTTTTGATTGGCCTAATCCTGGGTTTGGTAAGACAGCATATTACATTTTAATTTTCAGTTTTACAGATAAATGTGAACTTGTTGCTTTGAAAATTGTCTAGAGGTTTTGCTTTACAGTAATTGCTAAAAAAAAAAAAGGCAGCAGTAGCAAGGATGTTTTATGTTTAACGAAGGGCTATAAGGAGGCACTTTTCTAATACTTGAAATTAAATGTTTGTTTCAGTGTGTGCATAGTATATATAATGGTTCTAAATTGTCTTAAAGGGCTGCAGGGAAGAAAACATTTCCCATTAACGGCTGTACCTCCTGTAACATTAAGATCTTGATTCTAAATAGCTGGAGCTCTCCAACCACCCAGGCTGGCAGGAAGGTTCCAGCTGTGAGCCTTGTGGGGCAGTCAGTGTCCACGTTGCCCCACGTCAGTTGGTGCAAGCAGAGGCAACTGGTGAGGGGAACCCTGGGTGGGACACTGATCATGTGCCCCCTTCCTTCCCTTCCCTTTCTCCATTCCCTCTCCGTCTCTTCCTCTAGCTTAGGTGGCCCGGGGGCTAGTGAGGCTGGAGGGCCAGTGGTGGCCTTAGGAGTCAACCCGTTCCACCCTCCTCCTCCACACACCCATCACCTCTTTCCAGGGGCTAGTAAGGCACTTGAAAACTCTATAACTTTTTTGGTAGAGAATTTAGTCATTAGCTCACAGTAGCACTGTATCTATCTAATTCCTATATAAAAGAAAGAAAATGTAAATAAATCCTAGACCCACTCAGATCGAATACTAACATGCTGACATCTTGTGGCAAGGCGCTGGTTAGCATTAACATTTTAATACATATTCTTATGTTGTTACTGAATCTCTGGGGAGAGAGAGAGACACTGTCAGGACTCCTGGGTTCTATCTCAGCTCTGGAAGAGGCGTGGGGTCTTGTGGGTAATAGCAGGGAGCAGATACATTTGGGTTCTATATAAGAACATCAGAATGGCCATACTGGTTCAGACCAGTGGTCCATCTAGCCCAGTGTCCTGTCCTCCAACCAGTGTGTTTTCAGAAGGCATGAACAGAAGAGGCAATCATCACATGATCCATCCCCTGCCTCCCATTCCAAGCATCTGGCAAATTAAAACTAGGGACACCATTCCTGTCCATCCTGGCTAGTAGCCAGTGATGGACCTATCCTCCTTGCATTGATTTTGTTGGAACCCTGTTATAATTGTGATATCTGGGTTGTCAAATTTACCTTAATTGTGAGCTCAACCATAGAACTCATGTAAAAATTCCTAGACTTCACAAAAACCTATAATGACAAATATTGGTAGGAAAAGGCACAAAAGGGAGACAGACTGAATTTGTCCAAACAAAAAGGCCTACTGGTATAATTCAAGGACTGTGCTAAGATCATGCCTGGAAGCGAGAAAATGTAGGACCAGAAATTAAATAATTAAAATTACTGTGTTGGATATTTAGGTTTAATTGGTGAGTAGAGACTGTGGGGGATTGGCTGTTTCATCCCCCACTCTCCTTTGAGGTGTCTCCTCGGGCCCCAGGCCTTTCATTATCCTGATCCTGAGAAATGTCCTGCCTAGAGCAGACCGGAGAGAGAAACCCAGATGACAATGCCATCTCTACTAGCCCCAGTTGAATTGCAAACACCAGCTAGGATCAAATGGGATTGAACTTTTAACAGCAACAGCTCCAGCCCATCTCAATTAATTTCTTCACTTTTCTCTGAAAGGACAGTTATTTTACCATCTTCAGTATCACAAGGGACTGTCAAATACTTTTTTTTTTTTAATTCTGAAAACTCTTTCCAGAGAAAAGGAAAGGGATGTTAACATAAAAGCTTTACTTAGTACTTAACATTACACATGCTTTAACAGCCTTTCCTTTTTTTTTAATCTTTTAATAAAAGGTTAAGAGGATTTGTAGTAGTTTGTTTGCCATTGTACTAAGCAGCCATGGTCTCCATATACCAAACCCTGAACCTTCTTTAACACTGTTCGGTGTCAGATAGTGACTGGGTTATGTTGCACTATTGATTCCATTGATATAGTCCATCTAAATTAATACAGCTCCTCTTCAGCACTGTAAAGGGGCCATATAAAACTGTCTTAACTGGACAGCTGAGAAATCACCGGTCATCCCCAAGGTGGTATAGTCTGCATCGTACATACTCCACTCAGATCCCCTAGCATGGGGAGTATGGCTGGAGTAGGAGGCAAGGATGTAGTGGTGTTGTATTCCAATGATCCACTGGCGCAGTAAGTTTCATGAGCTGGTTGCTAAGCAGCATCTGAGTTCCAATTTGTAGCAGGGGCTGGACTGGACCCCTCTCTGGCCTCAGAGATGGCTTAAAGTTGAGATGGGCAAAAGTGCTCATCGCAGGGCGGGATGAGGCTTCCCACGTTTCCCCGCCCTCAGGCCCTGATTGGCCTGGGGGTGGAGAAGCATGCCAAGCCTCTTCTAGGGCATGAGTGCCTAGTGGGAAGGGAGGGCAAAAGGGCTCCCCAAACCCCAATCCAATTATGGTCTGGGGGGGTAGCTCCACCCCTTCCTGCTTAGGCTCCACCCCTTCCAGGGTGGCTTGGGGCTACTTCAGAAATTTTTGAAGTGGCCCCCGGGCAAAAATTATTGCCCATCCCTGTTTTAAAGCCACCTTTTGGACATTTTCCTTTAGTGCTGAGCCTAGATTGCTGGGATTCAGATTGAATAAAGGGTCAGGAGAATTTGATTTTAAACAATAGCAGTTTTGCTGGGATTCAGATTGAATAAAGGGTCCTGAGAATTTGATTTTAAACAAGAGCAGTACTTGTATCAAAGCGGTGTATTTATTGTGTGTTTTTCTATCCTGTAATATATAGAAAGTACATTTTGGGCACCAGTGTATAACCTATTCAAAAATTAATGTCCTGTATTATAATGTTTATAATAATTAGATGCCTGTATGTTCTCCTGAGTAGTAAATGTATCCTTGCTAAATGGATGTGAATCAAATGGATGTTTTTATTAGAATCACATCTAGAAAGAAGCAGAATACATTTATTACTCCAAAATGGATGAAGCTGAAAAGTTTCATTTTGTGAATTTGCTTACCATTACTTCTAGAAAAACTGCACTTTGTGACTGACAGGAAGATCTGTTTCTTGAAATACATGGTACTATTTTCTTTTCTTTTTCTTTTTGGTTTTAGCATTCACATAATACACTTTGCAAGAAGTGATAATATAGTATATGCATTTTAAGTCACAATTTACTTCCATAGCAAAGACTAGTTTAATAAACACACAAACAAAACAAAATAAATAAAACCCATAGCAGGACGTGAAAACATTCTATATAAAAATGGTTAATTATCCAGTGGACATAAAAACTTCATAGGTATCACAAATAAATAAACACTCTGAACCAGGTCTTTACATTAAAGAGCCTGACTTATTAAATGGCAATTGCTGGATATTCCCCTTTCTCTGATTCTCATTTCAACATGCCATACATAAAGGAAGCAGGAGGAAAGGAACTGGCGGTACAAATACCCTATAGCTAGCCACTCCCTTTCAGCATTTTTTTTAGCTTTTTAAGAATGGAAACATGGAATTCTCACTCCTTCTCACTTTTGAAGAAATCCTGCTTCATATTTTGTTTACAGTGAATCTTAAGAGGGCAAAAAAAAAGAGAACATTTAGATCAGGGTGGGGAACCTTTTTTGAGTTGGGGGCCACTGACCTACAGAAAAATCAGTCAGGTGAGAAGCAGGAAAAAACCCCTCAGTGTGGCCCCCAATGAGAAGGAGAAAGGCACTCCCCACATTCCTCTCACGCACCAGAGCCAAGAAGGGCCCAGCCTAGTAGATTTTGTGTGCTCTAGCTCCATGGGGAGGCAGTGGGGGGGCTGGAACAGAGCCCTGACCTTTGGGAGCTGCATCCAGAGCACCTGTGCAGGCTCCCCAGTGTTGGGGGGGGGTGAGCCTCAGGGGCCAGATCCTGCCCCTGGGCCTGAGGTTCCCTACCCCTGATTTAGATAAAGGAAGAGGATAAGAAGGAAGAGGTTAAAAAGAAACCTTTAGCTTGGGACTTACCGCTCACTCCGTAGGTTCCCAGCAAAAAGAGGACACAACTGTTTGATTCATGACACTGATGTTCATGTTCCTTTTGTGGAACATGGGCTAAAGTTTCATGCTAAGATTCACTATTTGTAGATTTGGACACGCTGCTTGCCTTGTATGCTAAGCTTACTTCTCTTCTTCCGCCAGAAAACTTACTGAAATAATTACTGAGAGAGCATCACAGTGATTTGATGGTGGGAATCTTCATATTGCACTTGAAATTTTGCTTGAGGAGAACATGCTGTTGCCCTTGCACTATAGCCACAATAACTTAATAATTTAAGTTCTTCATGCCTTTCAGCGGCGCATTAGTATCATTCAGGAGCCTTTTCAGTGCATGTTTGACATCCAGAAATAGCAAAGAACAATTAACAATTGTCATAAAAACTGAATGACAAAGCAGTGAATTTGTTAAAAATGCTGCAACCATCGTTTCTGCCGCTTTGGCTTTCAGTGTATAATCTGTCAATATTTTAAAGACAGTAGTGAAGTGTTTCTTACTGGACATATGTCTCCAGACAGATTTAAGATTTTAAATCCTCTCCTTAATACTATTAGTGAAGAAATAAAGGGAAAATGAAAGGCTTAAGCTAATCAACAGGGCATTATTGTAAGATGCTGGTTGAACAGAGAAATGTGTTCCTACTTACCGCTATTTTTTCTGAGGCTGAAAATAACCTGCCGAATAGTGTATCTTAAGTTTCTGACAGTCATCCATGAATATAGAGGCGTACAAGGAGATCTTTGCTCACGCAACAAAAATGAGAAAGTTGACTTACTGCTTTAATGCAAGCAACCTAAACTTTTAGTGTGTTCAGTGTGCTACTCAAATATCTTTGAGGAAATAGTAACATCAAACACTGCCCTCTAGAGCCCATTGTGGAAGCTTCTTTGGCCATTACCCAGTATTGCTTATTGAAGGAAAAGGATAAATGCTCTAGCTTCCTAGGGAGAGGAATCACAGAAAGTTGTTGGTTTGCATCCCATTCCCATAAATATGCACTAACTGTAAGGAGGCCTTCGATCAAACCTAAACTGCATTTTACACCCAGTATTTCCACAGAGAAGCATTGAATGTACAAAAGCAAGTGAAGACCTGAAGAAGAGCTCTGTACCTTGAAAGCTTGTCTCTCACCAACAGAAGATGGTCAAATAAAAGATATTGCTTCACCCACCTCTGTAATATCTTTGGACAAACATGGGGAAAACACTGCAAAAATCAACCAAAGGAAGTTCAAGAGGGAGGTGACAGATTATAGGCTGATACGACTGTTACCTTATCTGTGGACATGTGGCTTCATTTACTAAGGACCTTTATCTCCTGAGATCACAAGTTTTTCTGTCTTCTGCTCTGGCACTCATATGTCCAGTAGATTCCTTTGCAGGGTGATAATGGTGCACCATCTAGCAGGCAAATAGAATGATCATGCTGCTATAGACATGATTGTATATCAATGTGCCAGTGTTAAAGATAATTCAGGTGCTCCTATTGTAGGAGAAAGAGAGCCTGAAGCATGGGCCTGGTGCTTAAACCAAAGTAAGTAAAAGCTATTCTATGCAGACGAGCCATGGCAGAAGGCAATGTTTGCCTGCAAGACAGTGTCTTTCGGCACTAAAATTGCCAGCACTAATAAAAGCACATGAAGTATGTAAATATGTTCCATTAGGATAGCACAGGGTCAACCAGCTAAGTACATAATAAAATTTAAAGCAACAAAAATAAAACAGAACAACAGGTAGTGAATGCTTTGGAAAAAGATACAAGTAGAGGCACCAAACGTGTCATTAATATGTAAAATAATACGCACAGTATACATCATAGATGGTTAATTTCTGTCTATAAATGTTGGGGTACCTCACTTAACTCTTCGGCTGGCCTAGGGGGCAATAGTAAATCCATACTGGTAAGCCTTGTTTATTGTCCCGGGTACTAACACACAGGGTTTCAAAGGCCATCTGGCTACCAACAACTATTAATGTGCTTTGTTCAACAGTAAACCTGACTTCGGTTCCTTCGTACCTTATCTAAGTCTATGGTCTTGGTGCTCTTGTGAAGTCTATTATGCTAGCTACCTGCACAGAGCTGGCATAATATACTTAAAAAGCATACAAAGGCATACTCAATCAAACATTTATCACTAATGGAGCAAAAAACTGTCAAAACCCCACACCAGTAAATCCTAAATTTGCTGTATCGCTGTCCTAAACTACTAGACCTATAATCTGCGACTTTATGCTCCTGGATGGAAATTTCTTCTTTTTTTGGAGGACAAATCCACCCACCCACCCGTACTTCAGAACACTTCCAGACAGATTCAGTCAGCAAGACGTTCATTCTGGGGGAAAGGCGGCCTGACCAAGAAGCGGGCCTTTAGATTTGGCAATGCTGTGTGTGTCTATCTGCACATGCATACATTTCATTCCTGAATGAAGATTTCTTGCCTGAAGCATCCAGATGTCTGCTAATAGCAGATGATTATCCATTTGGCTCATTTTCATGCCTTTAAAAATGTTACTCCAAGTAACTGAGGAGCCTTACTCTTGCTGAAAGTCAATAGGGCTTAGACTTCTAAATCACTTTGGCACCCTTGAGCATTTTATTCTGTTTTTAAGGTTTGCTTTTTCAAGTGTTTGGTTTTTATTGTAACAGGGTTTAAAAGCCTTGTTTACTCTAGGCAATTTCTTAGCCATTTTAGCATTCCTGTAGACATGGTGCAGCTGTCTTTTAATATTGTCATGTGGTGTTAATGCACCTGTAAGCATCTCGGGCTTATCACTAATTGTTCACTGCTACTATTTCTGCTATTTGGTATTTTAAAGAAGAATATACCTTTGAGTCACACCACTTTCCTCTTGTGTTGTTTTTTCTTTTCCAGAACTTAATGATTTGTACAGTTTAATAAGCACATTTTCCCGCTCACTGGGACCATCTTTTTTGTATTTTACAAATTTTCTTTTAAAAATTCTCTGGTAAAGTTTTCCTTTCATTTTCTTTTTGTCCAGATAGTCTTCTGAAGTAGAGCTGGTCATGAATTTTTCCACAAAACATTTTTCTGTTGTAAGGCAGATTTGTCAAAACCTAAACTCTTCACTGAAAAGTCAACTTTGATTAATGTCACGTTACAAAATTTTAATGAAATGTTTCAGAATGGTCAAAACATACTGTTTGGCATTTTCTAAATGAAAAGGCTGCTACTTTGGTTTGAAATTACTTTTTATTTCCAAGTGCAATTTAATATATAGTAAAATATTTTAACAAGTTAAAATCTAAACAAAACATTTGAAAATTGTTGAAAAAAAATGTTTTTCCCCTAGATTGTCTGTTCACAAACATTTGAAATTTTGATTGTCTTGATTTGAAACAAAGAAATATTTTGAAATCTCAAGTGTTGTTGCTACAGGAAAATCATTTCCTGTCCAGTTTTATTTAAATTGTAATCTCTATTGGAAGAGGGGAGATAACAGCTAGTATTGAACCACCTTACCTACAAGCGTTTTGAATAAACGTCATGTTTCAGTATTGACAGCACGAGTTTTCTGCGTCTCTCTGAACCATTCACTTCAGTGCACAGAAGACATTTTATAGCTTAGATGTTAGCGAGATGATCAAATTGGATTTAGCATGTATAAAGTTTCTCTAAGTCTTCTCCCCCCCATGGAAAATGAGTTTTTAATTAGCTTTTTAAAAGCCACTGTTCTTCAGTGGCTAGAAGGCAATAAGACCTGTAAATAGACACTCAAAAATTAAGGTTTTTAGGAAGAGAGGATCAGCTTAAACCCTACAGCAAACATGTCTGTGTTTTCTTGGTTCAGTCCTGTACTATTAACTTCTGGACATACTGTTGCCCTTTGGGGTCATGCTGTCTGTTTGTACTGGAATTATTGTAGGATATGAGAAGCTGAGCATACACCAACGGAGAGCTAGTAACTTTGTCATCACTAATATCCTGCTCTGCTTCCTCCCTTCTTGTGTATTTAGTATTAAGATTTCTTAATCTTTGTCCTCTTAATAAATTAAGACATGGGGCGTAAGCCTGGATATTTATGCTGCCAGCCACTGGTCATTTTTTCTCCTCTGCTTCTTGTTAAGTGAGGCTATTGGGATTCTTATTGTAAGATAGAAGAAGCAAATGACACAGAGAATTATTTATAAGTAGTAATTCCTTTCTGAAAGTGTTTCACTTATGGTAGCTGTTAAACCCCTCTGAGCCTGTTCACTGCCATTATTATTTTTCTCTATCTTAGAAGAAATTCATCTGCTGCATTTGCCACTTTACTTCTGTGTGGCTATTTAGTTAAAAAAGTAACAGTTTATTAAAATGGACTAATCATTTCTTAACCTTTGGTTAACATTCTTACTACAGAATGGGGCTCCTTTCACAATGGAAAATTAAGTTATGTAGAAAACATTTAGAACTATGCCCTCACATTTTGAGGACCTTTGTGTAATAACTTAGGATGGCGCTGACTTTTTCAAAAAGTATTCTCATTACGTGTTCACTAGTTACATTTATTGAAAGCTCATAAATCTGGTACATTAGTGCAAATGGACTGATATTGCAGGGGCTGTGAGATAAGAAACACATATTGGTTAAGTCACTAAACTGCATTTTTTTCTTTTTCTACTCAGATATTGGTTTTGATTGCAGACTGCCTTTGCCCTCCCAAGCCTAGATACAGAGCAGAAACATCTGGTAAGCACTCTTCATTCATAGGTATTATATATTTTGGAATGATTTATGCCTACTAATGCCAATTATTTTCTTGATAAAACTTTATTGATAAAAGTTTTCCTCTAAAATGTATTGATGGCAGCTGATTAATCCTAACAAGTCAGTTCCTTCATGGATGTCTGACAATAGCCTGTATTTTCTGTTGTAAACAATACTGTGATTTTCATGTACTTTCATCTGTCAAAGCACTTTATAGACACCAAAGAGTTCAGCCTTGTAATAGGAAAAATAATAAAATAATCCCATTTTATGGACATAGAAACTGAGGTGGACATAGGCTAAAAGCCATCAATCAGGAATGATCGTGCTAGAAATAGAAATGGTTCTGCTGATTCTCAGTTTTATGCTTATCCACAAAAATCTTCTAATTGAGGTACAAGTAATCTTGCTCATTGACAGGGTTTTCTAGGTCAGAGGTCTCAAACTCTTGGCACAGAGGCCATCTGCGCCTCGAGCACTTCTCCAGTTCGGCCTGTGAAATACTTTGAAAAAGTTATTTAAACAGGCCTGGGAGAAGGGGTTGTATGCAGCACTAGGGATGCTAAAATGCTTTTATTTTGGTAAACGTGTATCAGCAGTTACACATTTACACACGTGGGGGAAGCAGATTTTATGCCGGCTCCCTGCACGTACCGGTTCCTGCGGAGCTGTCTCTCCTCTCACGCCTCCCCCCTCCCCCCCCATTGTTGCCTCAGGAGAGGGGGGAATGGTGTATAATCTTGAAGGTTAACCTATCAGCCCAGGCTCTTCACACACCTCCCCTGGACCATAGGGACATGCAGACAGCAGCATGGAGCTAGAAACAGGAAGCCACTCTATATCTGCTGCACTGCCAGCAGGTAGGAGTCCCCGGTGAGTTTTAAATCACCCAGGGACAGCAGGCAGGGCTGGGGGAGATGTACAGACACTCCCTCCCCCCGGAGCCATGCCCGAGGGCACTAAGAGAATTTGAGGGCTGACGCCGGCCCTGAGGTAAATTGAGTTTGAGACCCTGTTCTATGTCTTAAAGCACATTCTGTGTACAGACAGACATTACACAGACTTTGGATGTATGTGAATCTACTGCTGCCCCACTTAAGTGGAAGTTATGTTCACATATGGACAGTGGGCTTGTGTGTTGTAATGTTTAAAGTCACAAAGGGTGTAAACAACTCGGCGTAATGTATTTTTGTAATAATTAATTACTTCCATATCCAGTGTGCCAAGTTTACAAGTTGGGAAGATGTCTGTCTTTTACCTTATTGAACTAAATATTTTGCTATCCTATCTTAGCTGACAATATTTTAATGATGCTTAGTAGAGTTCAGTTCAGTCTTCCTTAGCTAGATAAGATAGTCACTGCTAAACCAGAGTGAGGAATTTGTTTTTGTCTGCAAAATAGGCAAGTGTACCTCCAAAACACACTCGGAGCAGATTTGCTATGTAAGATTTTCTGTAAGGCATACAGTGAGTCCATGGCAGAAGAACACCTAGAAATAAGGAGTAGCTGGCTCCAAGTTCCTTGGACAATCAAGCTGCCTGTTACGGCGCAAAGGGCACCTTTAATAATCTAATGTTATTTCATCATCTTTGTCTGTATTCTCTTCATATTTAAGGCTGAAATATCCCCTCCAGTATATTTAGATGGCTCCATTACTTTAATGGGTGCAGTATTGCATCTGAGGGTTGAAACTGCCTTTTAGGAAGGTTCGTAAATTTTTATACGGTAGATTCCGCTTAATAGCAGCCCACATATTAATTTCTGGTTAATAGCAATTTTTGCTGAGACCCAATCTTGTCCCAATGACTTTAATTTTAATGGGATTCAGCTGTTGGCAATGGCGTGCAGCTTATTAAGAACATTTTGTTGAAAAAAGCCCTAGCTGCAGGCAGGTTTGCAGGGCTGCAGGCAGGAAAGCGCTGGAATATGCCATTCCTTCCTGCAATCCCACAGACTTGTCTGTGGCTGGTTCCCAGCGCTTCCATTTGAGGCTGCAGCCCCACAAACTTGCCTGGGTGCAGGGACTCCTTTGTAGGTAAGAGGCTTTGAGCTTTGGGGAGGGCAGTCGCATTCAGTGAAGCTGCTGAATGGTACCTCTTCCTAGGCTCTCTGGGCTGTCTTGCCTGGCTGCACCCAGGGAAGGAGCCTCATCCCCCAGAAAATGCAGCAGGAGATACCCGCAGCACACCCCCAGCATCTGGGATGCAGCCACTCTCCTCTCTGTTGCTCTGTCCCGCACTTCTATCCCTGGTGGCAGCCACACAAACCTGCCTGCCACTTACTGACAAACACCAGATAACAGCAACTTTTTGCTGGCAAGTGAAGTGTTGCTAATAAATAGAATCTCTTATAAATGAATCAGTCCTGCCACCTTGTAAGTGTGAACACTCGTACAGTAAGGTTCCGTTCTGTAACAATGCTGGTGGTAGCAATGGACGCAAAGCAAAACCTCCAGTCCCCAGTGGATATTTAATCCTTAATGCGGTCTAGGTTCAGGTTTGATTCTGGAACACCATATTCCACCAGTCTTGTCTTGACACAGTTGCACTGACATCTTGAGGTTAAAAAAATGATTTTTATATATATTTATTAGTTGGACAAGGGGCCAAGCCAGCATCACCACAGACAAATTGTGGCCTCCCTTCTTACCTGTGCTGCAGCAGGAGGGGGGCTGTTGCCACCAGCCCTTCCAGTGGCCAGATGGGGCTTGCTGGTATGTTTTGCGGTTGGTTCAATAGTATTGAAACAAAGAAACCTCATGCATCATTTAAAGTGATACTGCTATATAATTAGGCCCCATTTTAGCCAAGCTGACAACTTCTGGAGAACGTACTTCATATTAAGAGATGCCTCACTCTGAGAAACAATGGGAATAGTATGTTTCTGATGGATTTATATAAATATGTGTTTTTGTGTTTGCTGGCTTGGCTCGGCCCTGTTGCTGCAGTCACCAAACAAAAAGCATTCCCAGATCTGATTGTGCCTGCTAACACTTTTAAGATGATGATGAATGTTCAAGGAACTAAATAAAACTGAGCTACTGTTCCTAATCTATTAGGAACAAAATGAAAACAAGTGTTTCCCTAATGGTAAGACAGACATATTATAGGGAGGGAGGGGTAGAAATTATACCTAAGTTTGAGAGAACAAACAAGGTAAAAAGATAAAATGAGACGGTGATGATGCTACCTTATGAAAAAATTGTTGGCCTAACTCTAAAGAATATTTTGTAATTTTTGCTCTCTTGCAGTACTGTAGTAAATTAGAAAAAAATGTTAGCAGGTGCCTTATGATTGAAACGTTTTCAATCTTTATTTTGTTTTAGTTGAGTTGATTGAAAAGGACAATGCAGAGCTTACAGCAGTAGAAGAGGTAGAAGAAGCTGAAGAGTTTTCAGCAAATGAGTTAGAAGAGGATCTAGAGGAAAGGAAGGACGTTTCAGATGGAGAAGATGGAGCCAAATCAAGTGAAGAGGCTAATTCAAATGAAGATGGCTCAGAAGAGGACTCTGCACTTGATGAAGGATCAGGGACAGAAGAGACAGAAGACATCCAACATCCAACTGATTTGGAGACCCAAAGCTCAGTAAGGCAACGTAAGAGCCAGGTGGCTGACAATGGACTATAGTTTCCTTGGTGTTTTCCATAAACTCGGACCAAAGAAATATCTTGGGGCCTTCTGGCCTGCAGCTGAAGCCAAACACTTGATTTGTAGTTTGTGTTTACGTAAAGCAAAACCTCTGTTCTGTATCAGCTGGCTTCTTTCTCCTTTCCTTTTTTTAAGCCAATGTTTGCTCATAGACTTTCATTTTTATAAGCACGCCTTTATATAGTATGTTGACCATGACAATCAAAATCTTAAGTATGTTTTGATCTGCATAGAGATGTGAGGGGAAAGGGGCATGGCCACTGGGATGAAAGACTTGGTAACGAGGTGCTTGTTGTTCACACATGTGCTTCTTTATAGACACTGCTCCAAGCAAGATGAGACAAGAGAATTTAAGTTCAAAACCTGCATTAACCAGCGGTAGCTTAGCAGGAGTCTGACTCCCTTTTCTTTCTGTCTGAATATAGTCCATAAATTCTGTAAGAACATCAGGCACATCATAAAACAGCAGATGGAGGCACCTTAATTGTCTTCCATTAAAACAACTTGGTGTTTGGTGTTTTGCTTTCAGCAACTCAACTGAAGCACCTTTGCTATGTTGCTTTTTTTTTTTTAGTTTTGTTTTCCGCACTATCGAATAGTTATGCTCAAACTATACCATAATATTTTAACAGTGATTAGTTTTATTCTAGGCTTGAAGTGCTTCTAAAGCTTCTCATCTAGTGATTTTTCAGAGGCATAGTGCACAAGTCAGGCTTATATCATCTGGTGATTTTCATCATTTAGGGGGTTTAGATCATCAGAAACCTTTGGCTATGGAACATAAACAATGATATGCTTAAAATGACATGTTTGAAAAGGAAATGAATTAGTGAGAGAGAGAATTTTTGCCAAACTGTAATCTTTTTCTTGTAAGGTGTTGCAGTGAGAAATATTCATTCTAAGCCAATGTCATATTTCTTACCAATTCAAGCTAGTCATTTACAGAGAACTACAATTACTTTTTTGCTGTTTCCAGCCCAGAGTAGCTGGCAGCCAGAACTGCTTTAGTAATATTAACCAAAAAAACACTTATGGTTTCACCTCCTAGTGTACTGGTTTCATGACAAAAGGAGTGGAAAAAGCACACCAGGAAATGAAAGACTTAGTTTTTGTTACACTGCTGTTTTGGTTTTTTATGTGTTGACACAGCCATGAATTTTTCGAATTGCATAAAATCGAAATGGTTCACTAGCTAATCTGCTGACAAAACCCTATTCTGTCAAGTTTATTCAAGAAATCAACGTTTTATTCATTCTAGTTGCCATGACTTACATTAAGAATTTTTTAAAATAAACACATCCTATTAAGTGAATGAATATCTGAAGGATAATCCTGTACATTTCCACTTTGGCAGCATACTGATGCAGATTACATAATAAGAAGCATGTTGTTTACATCTTTTTTGTTGCGTATTTAGTTACCACATTGCATAAACCTGGCCATCTAGCATCATCAGTCTCTTCAGTTTGTTTTGTGGGGGAGAAAGAGTATTCTGTGAGATAAGATGCTTGCCCCCTGGTGTTAGAAAAGGGATTTTACCACTGCACAAAGGTAATTTTTTAATTTTCTTATGAAGTAATTTCCAGTCTTGACAGGGTCAGTTTATATCTGTCTTGAGAGTTGTTTTACTGTTAATGCAAAGATTTTATTCTGCAGAAAGCAATCTGAGTCTCACTGTTTTTTAAATGATTCCAAATGTAGAATATTTGCTCATTTAGTATAAATCCTACAGTTGTAGGGCCTGATTCTGGTCTGTTGTACAAGTGTAAAGCAGGTGTACCTTCACCGAGCTCTTAAGCATGAAGAAGATCAGAATTGGGGCTGTACTTCAATTCCTTCTGAATACACTCAGCTATTTAGACTCTCTTACAGCTATGAAGATTAGATTCTTTTCTCCAGCTGACTGTCTCCACTTGTGTTGTAGATGAAGGAAAAGAAAGCATGTGGGTCTCTTTCCTCAACAGCAAACCTGTAGGCCCAGCACAAATGATAGCTGTCCATCTCTCCAGAGTTATGTTTCATATGAATCTGACATTGAGTGAGGCTAGACTCATTTTAAGGGGTCTCAAACATCAGACCCCATATACGATGGCCCCTTTATTTCCATAGTCCCAGTAACAGAGAAGATTAATGCTAACTTTTGGTTTGACAGATGAATTCTTCTATTGCAAATGGAGGTTAAGTACAGTTGGTTTGATTATTGTATTTATATACTTCTCAAAGTGTTGTTCAGACATTAATAACACCTCACTTTTAAGAGTGCCATTTTTCCTTGTCAAAAAGACTGTTAAAGTAAAATGGTAGTGACTGTTGGCTTATGGAGGAAATCTATTGTTCAGTTTAGGGAACAGATGGTATTAAAGGGGCATTATAAAGGGCAGATTTCTCCATGATTAATGTGGTAACTGTGCAATAATAGCAGTGTCAGTCCTGAATAATGTATGGAGGACTTGCACCTTTTCACTGAAAAGTATGTCTTCTTAACCTTAAGTCATGTTAGTATAGAAATATTTGCAGCAGTATTAGCCTTGCAGTTTTAACGCTGTCTGTGTTTCTGGGCTATCTACAATATTAATACCTCTCATTTGTGCCAATTGAGATGACCCTGTTTATCACCTCAGCACTTCCGTCCTGTGTTTTGATTCACTTTACGGCAGTAGAAATTGTCCTTGCATGTGGAATATAGACAAAATGTCCTCGAAAAGAAGTTGGTGTTCACACGATTAGCTGCAATTGTTTGAGTAAATTTAGCACCATTAACTCTGTTAAGACCTGCTGAGGGAGATTGCAAACTTTCAAAGGGTGACTGGTGGATTTGGGTTTCCAACTTTAGAGACTTAACTTTTCAGAGGCTGGTGCCCAGCTCCTTCTGGAAATCAGTCCTTCTGACGATGTTTTGGCATGAACATCCAGAAAGAGAGATCTACAAACCCATATGTCACTCTTGAAATGTTATGCCTACATTTCTAAATAGGGTGCAAACAGAGCCTTGCCTTTCTACTTGTGCTTCCAATAAAGTTTCAAGTGAAATATGTCATTTGGAGATTACTCTCTGTATAGATCATAACAATTCTGTTGGACAACATTTTTTTATGTGGCATTTTCATGGACATGTTATGCAAAATTACTTTTTATACTAAAAACTCTGCAAACTTAAGCCATAGGTATTTGTACTGGAATTCCATATAAATTTTTTGTATTTATGATTTGTTGTGGTTTTTATTTGTCAGCCTAATTACATTTGACTGATGGGTCACATTATCACAAGGGTGGAATTATAGTTTATAAAGGATTAATCAATGAAGATGTTTTAAAAAATCTTTATTTGGTTGTTGGTCTGTAATAGTCATTAATAACACAAATCTATAACATCTATAGACAATTTTTAGCCCTTTTTAAGTGCAGTTTTAGTAATTATTTTTAAAGCAATGAACTTTGTAATCCCAAATGGCTCAGTATTTTGAGATGTTAAATTTGTTTTTATATTTAGCATGGAAACAGAAGATGGAAAATCATTGAAATGCCGCCTTCATTCATTGTGGTTGAAATTTGAAGTTCTACAAAGTTAAAGCTCACTCTTTGTTCATCCAATAGTGTGGGCAAAAATTTCAGATGAAACCAAGACACCTGATGGGATTGCGTTCTAACCTTAATACAAAATCAGGTTTCATCTAAGTTTCTTTTTAAAGTTTTGCATTTTTCTAATCCAAAACAGGGACATACAAGAGGCAAACTCATGCATTTCAAAATAGTCTTTTATGCCCCTCGAGTGAAGCAGCTGAGTTTTGCTTTGCTGTCACCTTTTCACTCTCTGTAGGCCAACAGTATTTCTTTCTCTTTTGATCTGGGCTGCATGTTTCTCAAATTTAGACCCAGGTGATGTTTGTGAAAGGGGTTTGCTATCTCAGCTGAATTTGGCTTAAAAGCTCCTCAAAGTCAAATGATCAGTGTGTGTGTTTGGTTATAAATCTGAGTTCAAGAAACTGCCGTCAAACTCTTCATTTTTTCCCACCAATCCCTGCTTCTTCCCTCTTGGACATAATTGACTTCCAGAGAGACTTTCAAATCCAAGTAATTGAGACTAAGGTTCAGTCTGTATCTGAGGTGTGAATATTTTGTACAACTCCACTGTTTGAAGCTCAGCATCTAGTGTGGAATCATGTTCTCCAACTACAATACAGATGTGACTAGCTGCAAAGGGCCAGTGTGGAGTTAGCTTGAGAGCGCTACCATCCTAGAAGTTAATGGGGAACCATTACAATTTATTCAGAGTATAAACTCTGAGCCTAAGTGAAATATCAAGGACAAAGATCTGTTCAGTTTGGTAAGTAGCTCAGTAGTGCAGGAAACTCGGGGTTTCCTCACACATTATTATTGCTCACCACAGCTTCTAAGGCACTCATTAGACTATCCATGGCCCGAGAGAGAATACTTACTAACTGAAGCACTCTCAAACCTTTATCAACACTTATGAAATATTAATTCAATATTCCCTCAGCGTTTCATTACACAAGCCTGCTTTGTGGAATGGAGAGGGCAGTATTTTTTAAATAACCTTTCTAGTAGCTGGTTCTTTGACTAGTATATGAATATATGGCTTTAAAGAAGTACAAAAAAGATTGCAGGATCTCTTAGACAATTAGAATAGCAGATTGCAAATTCCTATAAAATCCTTTAATTTTCCTCTTGGGAATTATGTGAGGGTTTTTTTTTAGTGGATAAGGATTAAACCAGTAATTATTCCTACTTGGAAGGGGTTTGTTAGAAATAAATCCAACAGTAAAATCTTCCTTTGCCACAGCCATTTCTGTTTTTTTCCCACATTTTTAGACAAGATGACAGCCAGGAAAAATTAGAAGAAAAAGGAGCAAAAGACTGATACATCTGGGATGGGACTGGGAAGGTAGATGAGGGACTTCCTGTGTGACACGAGAGGAGAATCACTAGGTGACCAAGTTAGGGGATAACTAGGTGGGAGACAGTGGAGCAGCTCTCCATTTTCCTGATTCTTTGTCCTCCCATGTACTAGTTTGGATGTCCTTGCTGTTTGCTCTACTAGTCTGCCACCGTTGATTCAATTACATCATCATCTATTTGCCTGAATTGCTGCCCCTCAGTCATGTCAATGGCAAGCGTTTGGAACACACGTATGTTAGCTTTAAAAAAAAACAGAAAAGGCTGAGCAAGGAGTTCAGAGAAGGTTGACATCTGAAAAGTTACACTAAGGGGCACTTCTCTTACACATTATCCTGACAAATCCTGACTTCGGTTATGCCCTGGCACATGATACTGGTCCTCCCTTCAACGTACTTCTAATTTTGCATCCTTGTTACATGCATGCATAGGCACCAATCCCTAACAGTATTTGTCCTCCAGGGCACCTTATGTAGAAAACTGCTGCCTCAAAGCCCCTACCATGCTGAGCCACTGTTTATTTAATTTATTTAAAATATTTTTACCCCACCTCTATTTAAAATATTTGAGGCGGCTTACAATTTTTTTTTAAACACAACACAAATATATATATATATATATATATATAAAATTAAAATACAAGACCTCAGAGGGACATAAAACCTGCTAAAAAGTCTTGAGAGGCGGAACACACACACACGCACGCACGCACAAGCGCGAGTAGTAAGGTGGCTTTAGCCAGACGCCGAAACAATGCTAATGTTGGCTCCATGAGAATATCCCAAGGAAGAGAATTCTGCAGCCTAGGAGCAAAAGCTGAGAATGCCCTGTTCCGTGTGGATGTTGATCTTGTCTGCATAAGTGGGGGAACACTGAACAGAGCTTCCCCAGCTGACCTCAATCCCCGGGCAGGTTCATATGGGAGAAGATGGTCCTTCAGATACCCCAGACCCAATCCATTTAGGGTTTTATAGGTAATAACCAAGATCTTAAATTGTGCCCAGAAACATACCGGAAGCCAGTGCAGCTGCCGAAGCACTGGCATAATGTGTTCTGTATAATGAGTATTAGTTAAAACTTGAGCAGCCACATTCTGGACCAGTTGAAGTTTCTGAAGGCTCTTTTGAGGCAGCACCACGCAAAGCGCATTACAGTAATCCAGTCGGGATGCAACAAGAGCATGAATCACTGTGGCCAAGTCACCAGTTGCTTCCAGACACCAGTTTAGATCAGTCACCACCACAACTGGTTCTGATCTCACAGGGAAATAGAGTGGGGTGTCATCTGCATATTGATGGCACTGTCCTCCAAAACTCCTTATGACCTCTCTTAGTGGCTTCATGTAGGTGTTAAACAGCATAGGGGACAAGATGTAACCTTGTGGGACCCTGGAGCACAATCGCCATGGGGTTGAATAGCAGCCCCCTTGCTCCACCTTTTGAGAGCATCCCAACAGATAAGACTGGAACCACTGCAGAACAGTGCCTCCAATATCCAACTTCGCCAGGTGTTCCAGAAGGATACCATGGTTGATGGTATCAAAAGCCACTGAGAGGTCCAAGAGAATCAACAGGGATGTACTCCCCGTCTATCTCTTGGCGTAGTTCATATGCCAGGGTGACCAAGGCGGTTTCAGTTCCAAAGCCTGGCCTAAAGCCAGACTGAAATGGATCTAAATAATTTGTTTCTTTCAAGAAAGCTTGAAGTTGCAATGCTGTCGCCCGCTTGAGTACCTTGTCCAAGAAGGGAATATTAGCAACTGGGCGATAGTCATTCAAATCGTGTGGGTCCAGGGAAGGCTTCTGAAGTAGTGGTTTTATGACTGCCTCTTTCAAGGCAGCGAGACCCATACCAGATTTAAAAGGCGCATTAACAATCCTCTGGACTCAGCCAGTCATCCCTTCCTGGCTAGATTTAGTAAGCCATGAAGGGCAGGGGTCGGTCGCACTCCTCCAAGCTTTGTCCACATCCTCAGTCTGCAATAGCTGAAACTATTCCAAAGAGAAATGACTGGGCGGTCCACTCAACACGTTCTGTAGCCCACTAACATAGCAGCCAAATCAGAGGCCAAATCAGAGTCCAAATCAGACCAAATGTGAGTGATCATATCTGCAAAGTCCTTCACGAACAGATCAACAGCGGGGAGCCAAGAGCTCCTCCATTTCATCATGAGTTTGACTGTAACAAGCCCTGCACCACTCAATGGTTCCACTAGATGACATTGTGTGGATGAGATACGGGGGGAAAAGTAGCTTTTCTTCGTTGTCAACACTGCCACAGAGGAAGTTCGCAATTCAGCTCTAATCTGCAATAGATCAGACTCAGCTTTAGTCCCCCCCAAGGGGGGTTTTAGCCATTGCACAGACCATTTTGCTGCCATCAACCCCTCAGAAAACCAGGAAGCAAACCTGGCTCAACTAGCCCAAAGAGGTCACTTAGGAGCAATCATGTCAACTGCCCGGGCTACCTCAATGTTCCATACATCGACTAGGGCATCGACAGGACCATTTGCCATAATGGCTAAACAATTCCTCAAGGACCTAAGGAAGCTCTCTGGATCCGTCAGCCTCCGAGGGTGGACCATCTTAATTGGTCCCCCACCTCTGTGGAGGGGAAGGTCAGCAGATAGTCTAAACTTGAGCAGGTAGTGATCAGTCCATGACAAAGAGTGTAACCACATCCTTTATTCCAAGAACTCTGTCACCCTTAGTCCAAAAGACCAGATTGAGTGTATGCAGGTAAGGGGAACTTCCTCTCACCAAGCAAGAAACCTTCCTTACCCTCCCTGCTTTCACCAAGGACTGAATAGGCCACCAGACAACCAACAAGTGTGCAGTTTCACAAGTACACACACACTCAAATTATACTAAATCTCACAAACCCACCACAACACACCCTCAGTCTTCCCCGAAAGGCTCCCCCAAAGGGCAGCCCCCTTTGGAGTTACCGACCGCCAGCGGCAGCCTCGTGGCTTTAAGCCCGCCCCTGGTAATGGCTGCAGGCAACACCTGCAGCTAAAAGTTCTTACCCAGCAACAGCAGGGCAAGATCTTTGCTTCAAGAGGGCGGTGCTGGGAGAGATGTTGGTCCTTGTTCCCAGCCCTCCTCCCTCCCTGTTCACACAAGCTCAGTCTTCTAAGATCTTGCATGAATTACCGCTATTCATTCATAAGGACCCTCACAACATGGGGCTGGAAGTTCTGGATTTGTGCCGCCTCTTCTGCCTCTCCTCCAAGGCACACATTGTGCTGTCCCTGAATCCTAAACACATGCGTGGGCAGTACTGTTAGCCCTAGGAGGCCGGAGATCCTCATCCCATAGAAATATCGGGAGATCTTAGAAAACCTGAACTTCTTTAATCGAGACACATGGATGGACCTCTACCCTGTAGACAGCCTCTCAGAATTCTTGTCCTGCCTTCTGTGTTGGAATTCTCGGGAGGAGCACTTCTCATTGAGAGATTCTTTCTCTTTGTAAATTCACTCTGAAATGCAGACACATAAATGGAAGCTTCCCTTCAGCCACTGCCATAGGAAGGTATTCCTCTTTGTTGGTACCAGCTCTCAGGAAAAGAAATGCCTCCTCTTCATACTATGGTCCCCTTCTCCGTGTCTCTCTCCTATCTCTATTTCTTTCTTACTCTCTCCATCGGTTCCTGGTTTTGCCTTCATTCTATACTCTTCTGCAACTCATGTTACTGCTTCTTCCCATGTAAATTCCCTTTCGTTTCCTGTTAGTACCTTCACAACTCCATAACCCAACTGCTGTTGCAGGTGAGCCGCACTCTGAGGTGGGTTTATCCAGCTGAGGACTTCTTTATTGTGATGACATTATCTTCTACCAGTCAGGAAGCAGACTTTTCTGTTGCCCTAGCTCAGCAGTCACCTGTTAGTCATTATGACCTCAGTGGTTCTGTTCCCTAGCTGACGGGGAATTGGCCATGTGCTCAGCAGACTCAGCAGTCTCTGCCGAGTATATTTCTTCTCTGATTGTATTCAGCCTGTCTAGTAGTTAACTTTGTACTACAGAGGGACTCCAAGGATAGTCTGACTTGCTGCTGTTTGTATCTGGCAGGTAGGTCTCTTTTATAAGCAGGTTGCTGATCAACAAGAAATAAGCTACAGGCAGTCCCCGGGTTACATGGATCCGACTTACATCGGATCCCTACTTACAAACGGGGTGAGGCAACCCCGCACTAGCTGCCCCCCCCCCCAGCAGACCACCGAGACGTGCCGCAGTCCTGCTGCCCGCGTCCTCCGCGGCGAGAAAAGACCTTCCACGTCTCCCTGGTCTGTAGGACTGAGGGAAGTGAGGTGTGGGAGAATAAAACTGAGCTCTGGAGAAATGTTTGGCTAGAGTTTCCCCTACAATATGTACCAGTTCCGACTTACATACAAATTCAACTTAAGAACAAACCTACAGTCCCTATCTTGTACGTAACCCGGGGACTGCCTGTATTTGAAGAAACAGCTCCCAAGAGAAATTCTCCAGAAACCCAAATTAAGGGCCATATTTCCAAGTGGACTCAAAATCCTGGAGGAGAAAAAAAATCAACCTGTTTTCTTTCTAAGGGGAGATACAGATATCATGTGCTTGTCTAACCTTGGGGACAGATATAGAGTTCTATTCCTTACAATAAGTCTGAGACATTAAGGATGGGTAAACTTCAGTGAGTCACTTCATCATCCACTTTCCTATTAAAGATGATCTAAAGTTCTCTTTAGTATTTTGGACTTTCTTAACAAATCTTAAAGCAACTAGGGATTTTGAGTGCTTCTCTTTTTGGGCACCTAAAAATAGGGATCACTAGTTACTTCTGGAATAGCTCGGCTTGATTCTCCAATTCTCCCAAGAGAAGACACCTTCCTGATTAATTTTGAGACCTTAGAACATTGGCCGTCACTCCCACTTTTTTTTGTCCATATATTTGTCAAAAAGGGTGCTATACCTTCTTATAACCTCACCTGTTGTGTAACTGTGACTGCTTCCAAATATGTTAAAGATATCCGATTACTCAGTCATGAGCTCACAGGAATTCTTTATAAAAGCACCTGATTAAACTTGGAGGAGCCAACTTTCCAGATAGTAGTCTGCAGATAGGGCACATAATTGCAATACATTGAGCTGTATTCCTTTCAGGTGAACTGAGAGGCCAAGGGAAAAGTGCCTTTCTTTGAGTGATGGAATGTATGAGCCTTTGAGTGAGCTTAATAGATTCAACTCATGGCATGTATGTATGCAAGTGTGTATTTTTTTGGCCAACAGTTTTTGTTGGTGGTGTGTTTGCCCCATAGAAGTGTCTGTGTTCCCACCTAGAGCTTAAAGGACAGAGTGGACCTAACTATGTTTGTTGTTTCTTGGTGCCTATGGCAGTGAGGAGCTTGCCTTCTTCCTTGCATGCTATACTGGTATAATTATATTAGTCTATTACTTATAAGGTTAGTGGGCAAGGACCACCTTTTTGGCTGGAGGAGTGGGGCTTGTACACAAGACCTAGCACAACGGGTCCTGATCCATGGCTGGGTCTCCTAGATACAAATTACAGTTGTTAGTTCTTGTAGTCAGTGCCTGGACCTCCTATGCCTTCATAGCAACGCAGCAGATCAGATCAGTAGACTGTTCGCAACCAACCACAAATCTTCTGTCAAAGACTCGCTGCGACCGAACATCTTTTTCGAAAAAAACCCGGCAGTCTAGATGCTTATCTGTCGAAAAATAAACCCTTTTTTGAAAGCTCCAATATTCCTCAAAAAATGAGGTTTACAGGATCTTTCAAAAAAGGGTTTATTTTTTGACAGATCCACGTCTAGACTGCCTTTTTTCAAAAAAGCGCAGTTTTGAAAAAATTGGCAGCCATGTTTATGCTAATGAAGCATGGGATATTTAAATCCCTGCTACATTAGCAATTTCGACATGCCTAATCTACATCTCTCTGTCAACAGAGAGGTGTAATCTAGACATACTCTAATAGGGCTGCCCTACAGTCTCTTTTTAAGTAAGACTCCTACTGCCCACCTCCAAGCAAAGAAATAATGGCTTGTTAGTCATCAAGCATTGAAATTGTGTGGACAATCAGTCAAAGAAGTAACTAGCTGCACGGAGTCCACGACCTGCCCTCCTTCCCTGCTCTTGTAGAGTCCTGCTCCTCTGGGATTCTGATGAAAAACTGAAGGATGCTTAGGCCCACTCTGCCCTTTGTATTCGGGGGAGGGAGATGGGGGGTGTTGGAGAGGGTGCCTCAATGGACACTCCAGGTGGAAAGAATCTCATATTGTGTGCATGGGATGCAAGGTCACAAAGAGTGGACTCCATGTCGACAACACATCTCAAAGAACCACAGGTTATGTAAGGTAAATAACCATTCTTTTTTCCCAACTTTAACCATAATACCTTGTCTGCACATACTTCACTCTAACCCATTGCTTGTTCTTCCACTGAATGCCTGGAAGTTACATGCTCTTATTTAAGTTCCTCATAATTCCCTTCCCTTGACCAATCATGAAGACTAGTCTAGACGTTCCAATATGGCTTACTGATTTTAGTTTTCTTGTCTGGAAAATTGAAGGTACTCTACTAGAGTTATTAGACAAGTTACTATAATTACAGCTTTGATATCAAATATATACAAACCACTGCATGTCATCATACGTTCTCAATGGGGGAGGCCCTTAGACAAACCTAAGAACAAGATCCGAGAGCCTGAAATTTGCATTAAGATGTTGGGTGTGGCAGCTAACTCTAAAAGACGTGAATGGTCAACAGGGGGTGGATCACCTGTTCTGTTCATTCCCTCTGGGTCACCTGGTGTTGGCTGTTGTCAGCAGGCAGGATACTGGGCTAGACAGACCTTTGGTCTGTCCCAGTCTGGCCACTCTGATGTTCTTAAGCTTTCGTCTTGTGGTTTGACGACACCAAGCCTCAGATGGCAGCTGCATTAGGCAGTAGTTGGGGAGTAGGCCGCATTCTTCCTTGTGCTTTTCACCTGCCAATATGGGCCCCTGATGTTTTATCTGCTCTCGTGCTAGGATGTACATGGAGGGCCACGAGGTTACCTTGGATCATCACTCTACCAACCCCACCGGGGACAGAAAAGACAGTGCCAAGTCCCTCCCCAGTGAAGCTATCAAGAAGCTTAGCAGCATAGATAGTCTCTCTTCTGGCAGTAGTTTACAGCAAGAGACCTTTGCCACAGCACGTAACTTCAGCCCTCAATTGAGTAGGAAGATGGATGGCACAACCAATGCTTCCAGGAAGGCGCCTGTCATCCCAATAGACCTCGATGGTGCACTGGATACGAATGCATCATGCAGCAAATTGGATTCCTCCTTGACCAAAGGGCTTCCTGGACCACCCTTCATTTGCAAGCATACTGTGGATGACATCAGTGCACAGGTTGAGTAACTTCAGCTTTGTTGTTCTTCCTTCTCTGAATTATCCAGTCTGTAATACTTGCTGCCTCAAGAGAGTATGAAAATATTGGCTGAATTTTTAGGGTAGTCTGGATAATTTTCTGACTATGAAACTATTGGGAACAGGGTTAAAAGATGGAACTTCTATCCCAGCAGAATATTCATATTCCAATATTTGTTTGTCCTGAATTGGGCCAGAAACTCAAAATACCAAAACTTAGTGTGGAACACAAACAGGGTTCAATGAAATATTGGGTTCAGAAAAAGGAACACATATCAATCGAACATTTTGACTTTCCCAAACTGAAACATTGCATTTTTGGTTTGTCAAACCAACTTGAAACATTTAATTTGTAGAACCTAGACTTTAGTAAGGCATTTGATACGGTCTCGCATGATATTCTTATTGATAAACTAGGCAAATATAACTTAGATAGGGCCACGATAAGGTGGGTGCATAATTGGCTGGATAACCGTAGTCAGAGAGTTGTTGTTAACGGTTCTAAATCCTGCTGGAAAGGGATAACAAGTGGAGTTCCTCAAGGGTCTGTTTTGGGACCCGTACTGTTCAATATCTTCATCAATGATGTAGATATTGGGATAGAGAGTACTCTTATTAAGTTTGCAGATGATACCAAACTGGGTGGGGTTGCAACTTCTTTGGAGGATAGGGACATAATTCAAAATGACCTTAGCAAGTTAGAGAAATGGTCAGAGGTAAACAGGATGAGGTTTAATAAGGAGAAATGCAGAGTGCTCCACTTAGGAAGGAACAATCAGTTCCATACATACAAGATGGGAAGCGACTGTCTAGGAAGGAGCATGGCGGAAAGGGATCTAGGGGTCATAGTGGACCACAAGTTGAATATGAGTCAACAGTGTGATGCTGTTGCAAAAAAAGCAAATATGATTTTAGGTTGTATCAACAGGTGTGTTGTAAGCAAAACTCGTGAAGTCATTCTGCCGCTCTACTCTGCACTAGTTAGGCCTCAGCTGGAGTACTGTGTCCAGTTCTGGGCGCCACATTTCAAGAAAGATGTGGAGAAATTGGAAAGGGTACAGAGAAGAGTGACAAGAATGATTAAAGGTCTAGAGAAGCCTATGAAGCCAGGCTTCATGAACTGGGCTTGTTTAGTTTGGAAAAAAGAAGATTAAGGGGGGACATGATAGTGGTTTTCAAATATCTAAAAGGGTGTCACAAGGAGGAAGGTGAAAATTTGTTCCTCTTGGTTTCTGAGGACAGGACATGGAGTAATGGGCTTAAAGTGCAGCAGGGGAGGTTTAGATTGGACATTAGGAAAAAATTCCTAACTGTCAGGGTGGTCAAATATTGGAATAAATTGCCAAGGGAGGTGGTGGAATCTCCCTCTCTGGAGATATTTAAGAACAGGTTAGATAGACATCTGTCAGGGATGGTGTAGACGGAGCTTGGTCCTGCCTTGAGGGCGGGGGGCTGGAATCGATAACCTCTCGAGGTCCCTTCAAGTCCTATTATTCTATGATTCTATGATTACACCTTCCATGATGCAGTCTGACAATTCAGAGAGGCCATTCCGTCATGGGAGGTATGGTCATGCCAGCCTGCCTGGAACACAGTTTAGAATGAGGCATGAGTCTCATCGTGAAATTGGTGGACCAGAGGTGAGCTGCAGCATGAGAGCTGATCAAAACCACTGGCCATCCAGTCTATTTATTTGGTTGATAAAGACAAGACTAGTATTTGAATATTTGTGTTTTGTTTAACCTGCTCTTTTAAGTACAGGCAGTCCCCGAGTTACGCGGATCCGACTTATGTCAGATCCGCAGTTATGAACGGGGCTTTTCTCGCCCCGGAGAACGGGAGCGGTGGGACGCCCAGATGTGCCGCGGTCCCGCCGCCCGCGTCCT